GCTGCGGACCCAGCTTGGCTTGGCCCAGCCTCCCTCACGGACTGCTGGACCCACCAGATGGCATTAGAGGCCCGCAGTGTCAACAGAGACCACGTGCATGGGGCCGAGCCTCTGACCCCTCTCCCACGAGTCCAGGCCCTGCCTCAGTGTCCTCAGGTTCAGAGCCTGGCTGAAGAGAGACCTGGGGTGCGGCTGAGCAGGGTGTCTGGGCATTGGGCATCCCCACCAGGTGGGCAGGGACGCTGGTCCCCTTGGGGAGCCCTAGCTTTCTGAAGTGTGCCCTGAGCTCCCGGCCACCTTCCCTTTTGCTTCAGGCCTGCCAAGTGCTCTGGGTTTCACTGCCCAGACAGGGTCCAGGGAGCAGGGTCCCATTCACCCCTAGAGCTGGGAGGAGCAGAAAGGAGTTGGGGTGTCATCCAGGTGGGGTCTGGGGCTTCATGTGGGAACCTGGGGGTCCCGGGAGGACCCATGGGGCAGGGTTTGGAGAGGGTGGGACACTCAGTCCATGGAGAGAGTTGGGGGCCTTGGACAGACTCTCCCTTCACCACCTGCGAGTCCCGCCTCCAGCCAGGTCTCACGTCCCTCCAGGCTGTGCCCATCCTCTAACCTGCTCCTGGCTGATGCCCTGGTTTGTCTTTTCAGCCAATTATCTTGAACCCCCATGACATGGATCTTGACAGGAGCTGCAGGAAAGCGGGGGAGGCTGTGCTGGCCTTTGCCATGTCTCCAAGGCGCTGAGCCCCACCGTTGCCAGGCCCAAGCCCACCTGGCTCCCCTACTGGCCAGAGTGAAGGGAAGGGGGGTCATGGTCCCATCCCAAGAGAGGGGAACGCTGGCTACCCCTACCCCTGCCCTCCTGTCCACCCCAACCTGTCTGGGAACGCCCCTCAGAGTTGGCATCTGGCAGCAGCCCAGTCACCCAGGCTGCTTCCTGCCCCAGGAAAACTGCACTGACCCCACCTGTGTCCACCAGGGTCCTGGGGGCATTCTGGGGGCGCCGTGCTGCTTGGCCATGCTGGGCTGGAGGCTGGACACCCACATCTCATCTGGGGGAGCTTCAGGAGCCTCTTCTGCACATTTCACAGGGTTGGAGAGGTTTGTCCTAGTTTGAGACAGGGCCTTGCTCTGTCCTGCAGCCTCAAACTCCAGGACTCAAGCGGTCCTGCCCCAGCCTCCTGAGTGCTACAGGCACATCTGCTACGATGCCCAGCAAATTGTTTATTTCTTGTAGAGATGGAGTCTTCCTGTGCTGCCCAGGCTGATCTTGAACTCCTTGCCTCAAGTGATCCCCCTACCTCGGCCTCACAAAGTGCTGGGGTTACAGGCATGAGCCACTGTGCCCAGCCCAGGATTGGAGAAAATTTTTTTTTTTTTTTTTTTGAGATGGAGTCTTGCTGTTGTTGCCCAGGCTGAAGTACAATGGCACAGTCTCAGCTCACTGAAACCTCTGCCTCCTGGGTTCAAGCAATTCTCTTGCCTCAGCCTCCTGAGTAGCTGGGAGGGATTACAAGCATGCACCACCATGCCCGGCTAATTTTGTATTTTTGGTAGAGGTGAGGTTTCTCCATGTTGGTCAGGCTGGTCTCAAACTCCTGACTTCAGGTGATCTATCTGTCTCAGCCTCCCCAAAGTGCTGGGATTATAGGCATGAGCCACTGTGCCCGGCCTGGAGGTTTTTTTAATGTGTAGGTGTTTCCCCAGCTCTCCCACCCTCTTTGCTGTGGTCTAAGTAATGACTCATTGTTCAGGACTTGGCCTGTATCTTCAATATGAAAACTCTGATCTGTCTGCAGTCTCTTACCTGCTGTTATTCTGGGAGGCATTGTCTGTGTGACTTTTTCAGGGCTGTCTTCCAACTCCTTTTGGCCAGTCTAATCTGCTATTGAAACCATCAGTTGAGATTTTTCTACCAATGGTCACATTCCTCATGGTAAAGGCCCTATTTAGGCCGGGCACGGTGGCTCAAGCCTATAATCCCAGCACTTTGGGAGGCCGAGGTGGGTGGATCATAAGGTCAAGAGATCGAGACCATCCTGGTCAACATGGTGAAACCCCGTCTCTACTAAAAATACAAAAAACATTAGCTGGGCATGGTGGCGCATGCCTGTAATCCCGGCTACTCAGGAGGCTGAGGCAGGAGAATTGTCCGAACCCAGGAGGCGGAGGTTGCGGTGAGCTGAGATCGCGCCACTGCACTCCAACCTGGGTAACAAGAGCGAAACTCTGTCTCAAAAAATAAAAAAAAAAAAGGCCCTATTTAGTGTTTTCAAATCTGCTAATTTGAATTAGCGTCTTTCATGTTACCATGTTGGTTTTCATTTCCACTTTTATCTGTTTATCCATTTTATGTTTGTTCTATTTTCTCTCTTAATTTTTCTGCTATTATTATTTCTGGTTCTTAAGCTGCCTTTGTCCAGGTGCAGTGACTCACACCTGTAATCTCAACACTTTGAGAGGCTGAGGTGGGAGGTTACTTGAGACCAGCTGGGCAACATGGTAAGACCTCATCTCTGCAAAAAATAAAATTAAAAATTGGTCAGGCATGGCAACACTGTCTTTAGCCCCAGCTGGGGGGAGGCTAAGCCAAGAGGATGGCGTGAGCCCAGGAGGTGGAGGTTACAGTGAGTTATGATCGTGCCACTGTGCTTTGGCCTGGGGGACAGAGCCAGACTCTGTCTCAGAACAACCTAGAACAACAACAGAGAGAGGAGCCTGCACAGATGGAGCTATATTGGTGTTGGGCTGCTGTGGTGACGGCTTGCATCATCAGAAATTTACTCTCTCTCAGTTCTGGAGACCACAAGTCCAACATCAAGGTGTGGGCAGGAATGCACTCGCTCTGGAGACTCCTGGGGAGGATCCTTGCTTCTTTCAGCCTTGGGGATTCCCAGCGTCCCTCGCTTGGGGCTGCATGCTTCAGTATCTGCCCCTGTCCTCACATGGTCTTTGCTGTATGTCTGTCTCTTCTCCTCTTCATGGAGGCACACAAGTCATTGATTTGGGACCTACACTAAATCCAGGATGACCTCGTCTCAAGATCATTAACTTAATTATATCTGCAAAGACCCTATTTCCAAAGAAGGTCACATTCTGAGGTTCTGGATGGAAATGGATTTTGGGGGGTGGTACTGTTTCACCCAGTACAGGGCCACCCCGTGTGCTGAGTCCCCTTTGATACTTGCAAGCCCACAATGGCCACAGAGCTCCAAGGAGGAAGGCTTCCTGGAGGAGGTGGCCCAGCTCACCATAGAAGCAGCACCTCTCCCCCTTGGGTTCTGGGGCCAGCACTTTTTATGATGAGTCCTTTTTGGCCATGCTGATACCAGCTGAGACCCTGCTGCCTGCCCAACTCCATGTCAGGCCTGGGACAGGGTGAGACGGGCCTAGCGCCAGCTTTGAGACGTCCTTGCTCCAAAGAGTGGAGCAAGGGAGGCCAGTGTGGGGTGGACAGTGGGCACCGCACCAGGGACACGTATCTGATGCCTGTGAGAGTGATCTCTAGGAACTACCGCACAAGGGGGCAGATGAGGGAGCCCCAACACGGGACAGCTGAGGGTGACCCCAACACAGAGGTGGGCAGCTGTGTCCAGGCTCCACTGGACTCTCGTGAAGACAGAGCACAGCACTGACTCCAGGGTGCGGGATCACTGAGGGTTAGGACAGGCTGGGTTTGGGAGAGGGCCATGCTCTAGCCGGGGCACATCCACCTGCTCCCTTCAGATGGCAGGGCCTGGCCCTCTCCATCCCCACCCTGACCCGGTAGTAACAGCCACGGGCCGGCAGCCCCTCCCTCCCTGAACTGCAGGGGATGGGAGGTACCACAGTCTCTTCCAGGCGAGGGCTGCCAGAGCTTACTTTACCCTTGTGCCAGAAGCCCAGGGTGGCCGGGGTGTGGGCCAAGTGTGGGAAGAGAGCCCTGAGACAGCCTAGGGTGGGCATCCACCTTCCTGACCACTGTGGTGGCCTGAATCAGCCCCAGCCACTCTCCCTGTCCCTAGGAGCCCAGGGACTGGGGTTTGGGGCTTCCTGGAGCAAGCCACACCTGATCTACACCATGGATAGGAGCTTAAGGCCAGGCCAACAGGGACTCCACAGAGGGGCCTGTGGGTTAGCAGCAGTTGCCAGTGCCCAGATGGCCTCAGGGGTGGGAGTGGACAATCTGGAGGTCAGCAGGGAATTCAGAAGGAGGAGGTAGCCCTTACCGGTCTGGCCCAGAAGCCGCAGGATTTGGCTCTGCACTGTCATGAAGCCTGGGGGTCTAGGGCCCTCAGTCTCTCTCTGGCTGGGGAGTCACTCCCATCACTGCTGTCATTGGCCTCCCCTACATCAGCCTGGCCCTGGGGTGGGAGCACAGTGGGTACAGGGACCCCCAGGCCTGTTTTCCCTGCTGTAAAATGCACGTGGTGGTGAGGTTGTCATGAGGCCTAAAGGACTTCACACCTGCCATGTGCTCGGGATGGCGCCTAGCTCAGCGCCCCCCAGCCTGGTGCCACCAGCCTTCTCCCAGGCCCCCTTCGCTGGCAGCCCCCACACTCAGCTCTCCATCAACCACCCCCTCCAGGGTGCAACAAGGAGGCCCTGAGCCTGACAAGGGACCCTGAGCCTGTCCTTAGGGGCATGTGAGCTGAGGCTGGGGCCTGGAGGTACAGGGGAGGAGTTGGGCAGATGCAGAGGTCCCAAAGATGTCCCAAGGCCCAAAGACCCTGGTGAAGGAACGGAGGAGCCAGCACTGGGGGAGGGGGGAGCGGGAGCTGGATGGCCTGGCCCTGGGCTGGACACACGGTCTGCGGCCACACCTGAGCTGTGCTATGGAGCCCTAGTCGCCACCTGGGCACGTCGTGTCCTCTGAGGCACAGGGACTCCTGGTCCTCGGCTCTGACCCCTCATCTCCCATAGTTGGGATGATGAGTCCATAGACAGAGCCAGCCTCACAGGGGACCCAAAGGCCAGCTCAGATGGGCAGCAACTGGAGTCCCCACCAGGCACACGCACTCAGTGCAGAAAGCTAACGTGCTGTTTATTTGGGGGATGGGGGAAGTGCTGTGCTAGCTGCTCACTGGTAGCCGGCCAGCTGCAGGATGGTGGGGTAGCGGGTGCGATGGACCATGCACTTCTGGCGGTCGATGAAGAGGCTGTTGGTCATGGAGGCGATGTCCTTCTCCAGGCTCATGCGGGTGTCCTCCAGGTTGCGCAGGGACTGCTCCGCTTCTAGAAGCTTCTCCCGCAGCGCTGCGAGGGACATGTTCAGCTCCTCCACCTCGCTCACCAGCCTGGGGGTGTTGAGGGGTGTGAGCCGGGTCTGGGGAGGGCGGAAGTGTGCACCTTCCCGGCAGCAGGGGACCCAAAACTCACAGGCCCCAACTGGAGCGGGCAGGAGGTCCTGGCAAGACTCACAAAAGAACTCCTAAGGGAACCCCACCAGGAAAGTGGCCCCTCAGCCCACCAGGCTCAGCTCTTGCCATTCCTTATGTCTGAGGGAGGCCCCCAGTTCCTGGAAGGAACTGAGAGGCAGGGAAGGAAGAAAGGTTCTTATGCTCAGAAGGGGCCACTGAGCACCTGTTAACCAGGGAAACAAAAGGATGAGCATCTGCTCCTGGAGCCCAGGCATAGGTCACGCTTTCCATCAGAGGTGTGGACAGCACCCTCAGGGCAGCAGGGCATGGCCCTGCCTGGTCTCTCTGGCCCTGTGCCCTTCAGGAGTTCACCTTGTTGAAGGAGCTTCTTACCAGGAAGTTGAGGCAGCACAGGGTGGGTGAGAGCACTTGGGCACAGGTCCCTGGCACTGGGAGCCCCCAACCCATGACATGCCCAGTGTCCTGTCTGTGCCTTTGTGTGTAAGGCGTGCTTGTGTGTGGCCCCAGGGTCGCCCTCCCCTCTCAATACCTGCAGGGGATGTGTGTGTGTGTGGGGGGAGGTTGGGGTGTTCATAGGAGTCCAAGATCAGAGAGGCTGGGAGGAGGTGGACGGGGCCACCCGGGGCTGCCCCAGAGGCCAGGCAGCACCTGAACTGGCCCGCGTCACGGCACAGCTCCATGTTGGGCCGGTGCGAGCGCAGGTACAGCCGGGTCTGGGCGACTCGCAGAGGTGCCTCCTTGTCCTTGATGGCCTGCTTCAGCGCTGCCACGTTGTGCTCCTGGTCTGTGACTTCCCGCAGCGTCTGCAGACAGGACAGTGGCCCTTGGGCCTGCGCCCCCATGCCCCAGCATATGGAACGCCCCAGACCAGCCTGGTCCTACCTGGGCCCTGGGCTGCGTTCAGAGGGCAGCCCTGTCCAGGGGCCCCGGGGAGGCGTGGCTGAAGGGACAATGTGCACGGGGGCCCCCAGAGGGCTCTGGAGAGTCAGGCACCCTGTTGTCCCTTATCTCTAGAGGTCCAAGAACTCCCATCCCTGGTGGTCACCAGGACCCGAACCCTGCTCAAGGACTCGGAACTTACAGGTAGGAAAGGTCACGCTTATAGCCTAAGAGTCAGAGCTCTGCCTGCCAGGCCAGGACTCTTGGGGACCCCCTGGGCAGTGAGTGCTCCCCAGACCTCCTCCTGCCTCCATCCTCCCCACAGCTCCTCCTGCCCAGTCATGGGGGTGGCAACACGCCGATCATACCCAATGTTATCTGGTTTTATGTAGATTTGAGGAGGACTGGCATCTGCTTCTGGGGTCCCTCAGGGTGGGTGGGGCAGAGGAGGGAGGTGTTGAGGGCCCAGGCCAGGTGATGAGGGGGCAGAGTGGTGGGCGAACTCGGGAGCTGTCCCGGGGGTTCAGGGCACCCCACCTCGTGCAGGTGGTGCTGCAGCTTGTGCCTTGCGTCCTCCAGCTCCTCGCAGCGGCGCCCGAAGGCCAGGTTCACGGCGTCACACTGCAGCCGCAAGTCCTCGGAGGTGTCGCGCAGGATGCAGTCCACCAGCACCCGCAGGTTGGCCGAGGCCAGGCGCTCGCGCTGGGCGCGGCACAGATTGTCCTGAGTGAACTTGGCCCAGGTCTCAGGCGTGGACGCGCTGCAGGCGGGGACAGCCAGGGGAGGGGCAGGGAGGCCCTGTAAAGGCTGGGGGTCCTGCCCCACCCCCTAGCGTCCCTCGCCCCCGTGGCCTGCCCGCGCCCCGAGCTCCTGGAGGGCCCGCACGGACTCCGGTGCACCCCACGCCACCCCACGAAGCCCAGCCCTTCAGGCTCCCTGCTCCCGAGTGCCCCCCGCCCACAACTCGCCTGCGTCCCCCCTCCCCATACCCACACCGGGCGCCTAGTCCCCTCGTGCCCCGGCGACCCAGTCCCCAGCACCGCCTCCTCCGAGGCCCCCCCGGGAGTTTGCTGCCCTCCAGTGGCGGTGTTCGCGCGCCCTCTGCCGGCCGTGAGCGGAAATGCAGTTCTGCCCGCGCCTCGGGCTGATCCCGCCCCCACCGTGTCCAGTCTCCGGGTGGCTGAGCTCCATAGTTGTGCGCGCGCTGGGCCCTTGAGGGGGTCTTGCTCACCTGCTCATCCCCGGGGCAGACAGTTGCCCTAATGCCCTCGGGGGTAAGAGCTTCCGGGCCAGGCTGGGGGCAGCAGTCCTGAGGGGGCCCCCAGGCGAGGGGGAGGCACGACCACAGCCAGGGCAAGCGCAGGGGCAGGGCTGGGGCCCACCTCTCCTGGAAGGAGGTGGAGTGCGGATGAGACTGCACCTCGGTGCTCTGGGTGTGGAGGCGCCCGCAGGTCTCGTCGATGTTGTAGGCCTCCACCTTGTCCGACCAGTCCATCTCGCAGGTCTCCTTGTGCTCCCGGTTCAGCCTGGGGCGGTGCAGGGCAGGGCCTGGGTGTGTGCCCAAGGAGGGCCCTGCTGGGGACCCTCCCCGCAGCAGGCTGGGCCCCAATGCCAGCTTCAAGAGGGAGGCTCCTAGCCGGCCTGTCCCGGGCGGTCCTCCTGCTCAGCAGTGACCAGGAGCGGCTGCCCAGGCTGGGAGGCTGCGGATCAGATGTGCAGCTGGGCTCTCTGGCCCCTCAGAACCCCAGGCTGGCCGGAACCACCCCATCCAGCCCTGCGCTTCCACTGTGACCTGAGACAGCCCCTGCGGGCTCTGAGCCTCAGGATCCTGTGTTCTATGCCCTGTCCCAGGACCACCTGTGAGTGCGGTCAGGAGGCCTTTGGGGGGACCCACCGGATCTGGCTCACAGCTTGCATGATGGTTCTCTTCAGCAGCTCCTGAATGTTCCGGATAAGCTCCGCTTCCTGGGGGAGGAAACGCCCTGAGCACCAGAGCCGGTCCCTGGTGAGGAATCCCAGCAGGCCCAGCCGCTGCAGGCCTTGGTCAAAGCCTGAGCACCCAGAAGGAGCTGAGGGCCGGGCCCTGAGTCCTGGCTGTGTGCCTGGGGTCAGACCCATCTGCTTCTCTGCAGGCCTTTTTCCTGGAAAGTGGGGTTCCGGCCCCTGCGCTCTCACTGGGTTTATCCTGGGCTTTTGGGCATTCTCCTTGGTGCCTTGTAAGTGGGGTGTTTTCCTCCAGGGCCTTCCATGGGCTGCTGGATGGGTCCCTCAGTAGCAGTTCCCATGCCCCAGGTCTTAGGGGTCATCACTGCTGCTCGCTTTGTGCTCCCAGGAAAGGCGCCTCCCCTGGCCCCTGGACAGCCCCTGAGGACTCCAACTCTAGAGGCACAGATGCCCCCCCAGGCTGCCCCTTGGGCTCTGTGCTGGGAAAGGCTATCCTCACACCAAGAACAGGAGGGGCACCCTGTGTTTCTTCACACTGCCTGGCTGGTCTCATTTTCTGTGCTTAGGAACAAGCCTTTTCCCTGTGATTGGGGTCTTTGCCTTGACCACCAGCTACCTCCTTGTGTGCCAGGGCCCCAGTCCTGCGCCCTGCTGTCCTGTGGGTTTGCCTCTTCCTGTCTGTCAGTGTTTTCCTCACTGGGCAGGCGCCCTTGGTGTGGGCAGAGGGTTTGGGGGAGCTGCAGGAGTTTTTGAAGCACTGAGAGGGTGCAGGGGGAGGGGCCTGCGGAAGGGGAAGGGAGGGAGGAGGGAAGGCAGGAGGGGAGGGAGGGACTCAAGGTTCTGGCCTGAGCTCCGGTGTGTGGCAGGAAACCAGCTGCCCCTACTGATATCTTTCAGGGATGTCCACAGGCCTGCAGTGCATTCTCCGGAGGCCCCAGGCTCTGAGAGGTCAGAGAATGCTGCAGAGCCAGCAGCAGAGCCAGGACTGAGTTACCCTCTCATCCTGAGGCTGCCCCACAGACAAGCTGGGCTGGATTAGGAAGGCACGGGGGACATGGAGGAGGGGGACCTGCCGGTGCAGATCTTTGAGGCCCCTGCTGTGTGTAGGATGAATGGGAGCGGTGGCTCCCAGCCCAGCCCACGCCACCTGACCACACCCGCAGTGCTGGCCCAGGACTGGGTTTCCACCTTGGGAGCAGCTGTCCCAGCCAGGGACGCTTTTTGGGGAGGGGCCCTGTGGCTCAGTCCTGGGAGCTCAGGGTCAAGATGACTGTGCCAGTTCAAAGGGGTTGGAGGAGGAGAGGCACCCAGAGGAGAAACAGCTGCTGAGAAGTCAGTCTGTCACTAAGGGGCCAGATTTCGGGACTCAGGGGTCCCACGTGCAGAGGGCTGGGCTCCCGCAAGCCACGTGGCTTGTCCACATGAACTGCCAGGGCCCCTCCTCTCTGTGCCCACAAGTCCTGGCCAACCCAGGCTGCTGGCACCTTCAGCAGCTCCGTCTCCACGTGGTCGCGCACGAGGTTGGGGTGCTGGCGGCGCTCGCGGCACTGCAGGTTGTCAGTGGCGATGGAGAAAGGCACCTCCGTGGCGTCCAGTGCGCTCTCCAGCCGCTGCTTCTGGGCCAGCAGCAGGTTGGTCTCCGCGGCCAGCGCCTCCACCTCGCGCTGCAGCTCCGACTTCCAGCCGTGCGTGTCCTGCAGCCGCTCGCCCACCCTGCGCGTGGAGTCTTGCTGCGTGCGCTGCGCCAGCGCCTGGGTCTCCGCCGCCAGCTGCTGGCTCTCGTGCCGCTGCAGCTCCGACTGGTCGCGGTCCGCGAAGGCCTGGTGGTAGCGCGCGTGGCAGTTCTGGAACCACTCCTCCAGCAGGTACTTGGCGGTGCGGAAGCCGGCGGTGGCCAGGCCAGAGGACGTGTAGGCGCCCGTGTTGCGAGCCACCTCGGACACTTTGCAGGGCAGCTCGCAGGGCGGCACCGTCTGCGGGGCAGGCTCTTTGGTCAGTAGCACGTCCGTCTGCGCCATGGTGCCCGCCGTCTACCAGGGCCAGGGGAGTGAGGGGTGTGGTCAGCTAGTTGCGGTCAGCCCCGTGCGGTCAGCGGGGCAGCTTCAGCGGCTCAGTCCCAGAGCAGGACGCGGCTCCCAGTCGCCTGGGTGACACTGTACACCAAGATCTTCCTGTTGCTGAGCAACGGGGATCTCTCCTCCAGTGGCTGGGGGAGGGAGCATTCTAGGGGACAAGAAGAACTACCCTCTTAAAGGGCCAGGCAGCCCCAGCCCTGCCCTCCCTGTCCCCGCCTGGTGCAATCAGCAGTGGCCAAGGGTTCCTGTCACTTAGAGGATACTGGGGCCAGCCTGTCTCCAGCCTCTGTGTCCCACCCTTAGGGTTCAGGATGTGGGTGGGGACCTGCTGCCCTGGCCCCTTCCTGGGTTCATTCATTTGTTGTTTCTGGTTTGCCCTCTGATCTCCTCCTGTGTGGAGCTCCTTGATCAGCGCTCAGCGCTCAGCATGGACAAGACAGAGGAGGCTCTGCCCACCTGCAGCCGCCTCAGGGCAGAGGGGTGTGGCTGTTGCGTGGGTGTTGGGGGTGCTGGCTGATAGTGTTACCTGACATCTACTGCCCTGGCTGCTCTTCCAGCCTGATAGCACAGGGAGGGTCCAGGCCAGGCCCCCTCAGGGACAGTCTGAGGCAGCCTGAGGCAGTTCCTGCAGGGACTCTGCTCCATTTACTCCTGGGCCTACTGCCTGACAGCCAGGCCCTGGCCTCTGGCCTCCTCCTTCCACGTCCCAGCCAGGGCCCCCTCAGGCAGGGCACAGTGGGGAGGCAGTGTGAGCATACTTTTCACTGGGGAGTTGAATTCAGCCTCTGGGTGGGTGTTCAGTGTCAGACGCCGAAATCTGCCCCACAGTGGGAAGGCAGGTCCTGTGCTGCGGGGGCCACCCTCAAAGCCACCCAGGGTTAGGCTGCCTGGCAGAGGCTGGATGGGCAGGAAGTGCCCCAAGACACACCAGAGTCCCCCAGTCCTGGGGCCAGGGGAACCCCAGCCCAGGTTCGATGCCCCTCAGGGCATTGGCCTGGCTGTGAAAAGCCCGTGGCTCCTGGCTCGGCCTCCCCTGAACCTGCCTGGCACACTCAGTCCTGGGGACCCCCAGTCCTATAAGCCCCAGCTTCCTTGGGGACCCCGCACCCCAGAGTCCTCACCAGGAAGTCCATGACCCTCCTACGGCAGAGGCCCCTGGGCCCTGCCCCCTCTACCTCCACTTCCACCTCCTCTCCCACCATGGCCCCTGCCCGCACATCAGCCACAGGTGGTGGGCCACTCCCACCACCACACCCAGGGTCTCCCTAGCCCCGGTTGCACCCCGCCTTACCCCGGTCCTGGGACACTCCCACCACCCTGCCCAGCATCTCTCTAGCTCCACCATGTGTCTACCAGTGCCTCCTCCTGGACCTGACCTCCCAGGGCCCTGACCTCTCCTGCCACCAGAACCCTGATTCCATGCTCCTGTCACCACAGTGCGCCTGGCCTGACACAGCCTCCTGATGGGGATTTGAGGACAGCAGCCCTGAGACTTAGCCCAATTCAGGCTGAGCCAGAATCTGTAGTGTGCAGCCTGGGAACCTCTTCTCATTGCCTGACAAGATTGGGAGGTCCGGGGACCTTCAGGAGCTGATGTGGCCTGTGAAATGTCCTTGAGGCGTGCTGTGACTCAGTTTCCCTAGATGGCAGTAGGCTGTAACCCATGCAGGATAAAATGCCTGGCTCCACCTTTTATCTGGAACCTGCATTCACTGGGCACTGCCCTGTAGGCAGAACAGAGCAGAACTGCCTGTGTCTGTCCCCTGACCTGCTGCCCCAGGAGCCTGAGGGACCACCTGAGCCAAGGAGGAGAACGCTGGGCCTGACCCCAGCTCTGGAAATGGGCGACCTCTCAGCCTTCACTTCCAAGTGCCCTGAAGTCGTCGGCAGGGGTGCTGCCTGCTTGGAGATCCCAGGCTAAGGGGACACAGATTCACCTGGTGAGCGCAATTGGCTCTGCAGGCTGACCAACAGGATTTGACCAAGCACCCATCAGAGACGGGAGAGTGGGCCCTCGCCCCTGCCAGCTGCAAACTCCCAAAGCCCCCAGCTCTCTCATGGGGTGAAGACACGCAGAAGAACACTCCAGTGTGCTCTCACCTCTGGGGTCTGCCAGCCAGAGAGTAGGACCCTCAGGCCAAGTGTGTCTTGCTTGATCTCAGCTTCAGGGACCCCAGGGTGCTGGCAGCTCCCTGAGACCTGGGTCAGGGGTGTCCATTAGAGCACCTTGGTCAGGACCCAGAGATGGGGAGGCCAGGGCTAAGAGAACTCCGGGCAGTTGGCATCTCCAGAAAGCAGGGGATGGAGCATGGCTCTGTGATGGCTGTCCCTGTGACACGGACAAGTTGGAGGGGGGGCAGAGGGTCTGAGGGGCAGACGAGGCCACCAAAGGGCACCTTGGACACTGGATGACCCTGGGAAGGCCTGTGAACCCCATCCTGATTCACCCAGGGCCAGAGACCTGGGTTCACCCTGCAGGTCTGGGGACTCGGGTTCTTAGGAAACTGCTATACTCTTTTTTGTAATAGCTGTATGATTTTACATTCCCACCAATAATGTGTGAAATCTCTAGTTTTTTCTCATGTTCATCAGCTTTTGGTGTTTTATTATTCTTACTTTAGCCATTCTGATGCATATGTATTAATACATATATATGCATTAATATATATAAATAAGTCATTGTCTTAGTTTGCAAATTGCTAATGACTAATGATATTGAACATCTTTTCCTGTTCATAATTAAATACCATCTGTATTCCTTTTCACACATCATTAGCTCAACCATGAAAAAGCAGAGCAAAATATGTTTTTAACATGTCTGTACAATTTTTAGACAATACTCAAGGGAAAAGATGCTTATTTAGAACAACGAAAACAATGAGACATTAACTTCCAGCTTAAATAGAATTGATTGCGTGCACAAAAATGGTCAACATATTGATCTTCCTTGGCAAAAGAAGAATGGGGAAGACTTTATATTTTCTGAAACAGTGTTCATCCTTTGTCTTTGGTTTGATTGTTTATTTCTTATGTGTATGACTGTGAAGAAATGCATCAAAGATATAACTTTCTGGTGTTTGCTTTGATAGTATCCTTGCAAACAGAAAAGTTGGCGTGCATTTCTGTGTAAAACTGGTCAAAAATGGCCTAGGAATGAGATTACATTGTACTTTTACTTTACATCATACTGTAAGCATTTCATAACAGTGAAGGCATCAGCATTGATGCGGACGTATGATCCCTACTTAGGAGATGGTGGGTGTGGGGCTTAGGAGAGTTATGTGCTCATTATCATAAAACAAATATATGAAACATTTATATAAAAACCCAGTATTTCTGGTTTCAGATTCAGGACTCTGCCCTCTGCTTGAGATATATTTAAGTTTGCAGGTTAGAGACATTTTACTGTAAACTCCAATGAAATATCACAGTTGTACTCTTGACTATGTTGAAATCACAAAAAGATTTTAATCTGCACTCAATTCTTTTAACTACGATCTTCAGTTTGAATTAATTTCATTTGAAGAACATCCCTAGAAATTTTAGAGAGAAAAAGACTTTACTTGCAGAATACAATCTGCATTTGCTTTGACAATGGTTAGTTCACATATGTAAAATAAATCTGCCTTTCTGTATGCATAATTAAGATGTGACAGTAGTGTGGTAATGACTTGTTAATTAAAGCAATTAGGATGGTAGTGGATCATGGTGCAATTTACCTTAAAAGCCATGAGCAGAACACATCACAAGCTATCATACAATAAATAGTCATTGGGTTTAAAGTAATTTCCGCATAGAAAAACGCAAAACGTATTTTAGCCCTTTAAATGAAAACTTCGTTCAGTCAATATTGGTCTTCCTGTAGATGCATTTAGGAAACAAAAAACCCACAAAACATATAGTTTGCCTGCTTCTCAAAACTTGGTGCACAACTCATTGTGGGACTTCCATACACCAGGACCTATTATTAAAACAATTAAGTCCCCGGTGAAAACCATTTATTTGTCTGGAGTGTCATCTGATGTGTCTGTTGTAGGAAGCTGTGGCAGTGGTGGGTGGTTCAGGGAGACAGATCCTGTCCGTGTCCGTCTGTCCATCAGTGGGCTACTGTCTGTCTGGCTGCACCTGAGAAAGGTATACAGGGGTTAAAGCATTAGCACAGGCTTCAAAATAGCATAATCTTGGCTTCGAAATTCCATTTCAGTATTTATTTCCAGGTAAGTTTGTGTAGCATGCTTAATTTTTCTGAGGCTCAATTTTAGTTATGGTAAGCTTATATCTGCCCAAAAGACAAGGGCACATCCCAGTTTTGTGTGCTTTAAAGCTATACTTTTGGAAATGAACTTTAAGGAAAAGAATATAAAATAAGAACAAATATAAACTTTTATTTAAAAAGAATTTATAGTAAAATATAAATTTAAAGAACCTGACAATCCCACATACCTCACAAAACCCAAACTCTTTATTAACTACCTGACATATTATTTATGATATTTTTTCTTACTGGAAAAAATATTTCCTATTGCTTTGACTGTACGTTCTTTTATCACACCGTTTATTATAATACTTTTATAATATTATTTTCTCTGGAGAATAGAAATAAATACAATTGTTTTTCAACTGACCTGGTTGACTATTTTTATTTTTATTTTTATTTTTATTTTTTGAGACGGACTTTAGCTCTTGTTACCCAGGCTGGAGTGCAATGGTACGATCTCGGCTCACCGCAACCTCCGCCTCCTGGGTTCAGGCAATTCTCCTGCCTCCTGAGTAGCTGGGATTACAGGCACGTGCCACCATGCCCAGCTAATTTTTTGTATTTTTAGTAGAGACGGGGTTTCACCATGTTGACCAGGATGGGCTCGATCTCTTGACCTCGTGATCCACCCGCCTCGGCCTCCCAAAGTGCTGGGATTACAGGCTTGAGCCACTGCGCCCGGCCCGATTATTTTTAAGTGAATAAAGACAATTCAGAGAACTTGTCTTCAGTTTCACAAATGAGTATTGAGCTCATGTGAATTTCAAATATTGTTTCCAGACATGGGAAACTCCCATGAAGTTTCTTTTGTGTATAAGAAAGATATTTCGGGTATCCTCTCTA